AGACCCAAGCACGGCTGTTCCTTCTACCACACCCTCCACCCTCCGACCTGCCACAGAAAGTTTCTCTATCGTGGCTGCAACGGTGACCTTCTAAGAGGAGCCAGAAAGGGAGAAAATGGTTGGGTGAGGAGAGAGCAGAGGAGAGACCAGGATATGCAGGGAGAGAGGGACTCTGACTCCCCTCAAACCTGCATTTTAAATAGAGAAATGGAAACATGATTGCTTGCCCCCATCCTCCTCGTTCTCTGCCTGGCTCCTGCAGGCCACAGGGAAGGTGGGGAGCTTCAAACACAGAGCCCTCTGATGACTGGGAGTGTGATCCGTGGTGTTAACGCATTAGACATGGAGCAGGCGACTTTTGGCCCGCCAGATGTTTGGCCAGCGAAGCACATCATCCTTCACCATTAGCTCTGTTAGCTAACAGGGATGGATGTAGGCCAAAATATCTGGAGGGCTAGACTTTGCCCATCCCTGCTAAAGACAGTGTAGCCGGTCCTCAAGAACATCAGGGAAAGGTTGCTTCCATGTATTTGATGTAATACTTAAATTATGACTTTGCCTGATAAATGTGGTTTTCCTGGGAGCATTATCAGCCCTGTCCACACGCAGGCATATATGCACATTTGTAGCATTAGATGAGCACCAGCCTGGTGCCCTTCAGGTGCTTTAACTTCAACTCCCAGCAGCTCCAGTCAGCTTGGCCCACCATCAGGAATGCTGGTAGTTGTAGTGCTGAACTTTTGCGGGGTTCAGGCAACATACCAGATGCATGGGATGAGCAGAGGCAGGTGAGATACGATCTTACAGCCCCTCTATGTATTTGATTTACTAAATTAATCACATTTCACCCATGCATTTTTTGACTTCCTTAAAATCCTTCTGCCTTAACTACTTGCCTCAGTGCTGCTCACAATGAAAACTGCAATGACGAGGCATCGTAAAGCAAAGTAGCAGCCGCCCTCAAACAAGGCATGGATAAGCCTTCCTCCAGTGTTGGTTTCTCTTCAGCGCAAGCAAACGCTCTGTTGCCTCATATTCCTGATTTGAATTTCCTTTATCAGCTCCAAGATATTCCTCATAATAATTGTGCCTATAATTAGATGACATCAGCATTTCCAGGAGAAACCTTTTCATCAAACTTGCTGACTGGAAGTGGTTGAATAATAGCTGTGCACCAGACAATTGCAATAGCTCAAGTTTTCACTCAGCAGGACTCCTCTGGCTTGGAAGCTGAGCCACACCTTTCTGTGTCAAAATGAAAGGGATTTTGAGTGACTGTCTTTGAGATACCCTGCCCTCTCGCTGCCCACTCCAGGGATTACAGCAACAGTATTCTGATGTATATGTTGATTGTAATTTGTAGCTGCTATTCATTTTGTCTATTCCCAGTTTTTTAGTGTTGTTGTGTGCCGTCAAGCCACCTCCAACTCATGGTGGCCCTCCAAAACATCCTTTCCTTCACAACCCTGCTCAGTTCTAGTAAGCTCAAGGCTGTGGCTTCTTTTATGAAACTGAGGCACCTCATACTTGGCCTTCCACTCCTCTCAGCGTTGATGCTTTCTCCAGTGAGTCTTACCTCCTAATGATGTGCTCAAAGTATAAACACTTCACTTTCATCCGTTTTGCTTCCAAGGAAAGTTCAGGCTTACTTTAAGACACACTGGTTCATCTTTCTGTTGGTCCAGGGCATTCTCAAAGCTCTCCGCTAGCACCTCGTTCCAAACACATCAGTTTTGTTTCTGCCAGCTTCCTTCACTGTCCAGCTTTCACACGCACACGCTGTGATCAGGAATACAATAGTGTGGACGATCTTGGCCTTGGTCTCCAGAGAAACTTGATGATCTTTTCTAGTTTCTTCATTGCTGCCCTTCCAAGTCCAATTGATGACTGTCACCAAGGCATGCAAAAACTTTCACTATTTCAATTTCTTCACTGTTGACATTAAAGTTCTGTCATTCTTCCGTAGTCATGATTTTTGCGTTCTTAATGTTTAACTGCAGTCCTGTTTTTGCACTTTCTTCTTTCACTTTATTTAGGAGCCATTTCAAGTCATTGCTGCTTTCTGCCAGTAATATGGTATCACCTGTATATCTTAAATTTTGATGCATCTCCTGCCAGTTTTTACTCCTACTCTTTCTAATCCTAATCTGAATTTCCTTGTGATCTCTTTTACATACCGATTGAACAGATAATGAAATATAGCACATCATTGTCTGATTTCTTTGCCTATAGGAAACCCACCATCTGTCTTTTCACCATCTGTCCTGACACTCACTTCCTGTCCATGATATTCTTTCTTGCAACACCTGGAGCATCCCTTATTTATTTTTTATTTCTTAAAACATTTTTATGCCGCCCCATTCACCGAAGCCTCGGGGCGGCTTACAACAATAAATTAGATCCACATTGCTTGCATGGGGAATTAGTGCAATGGTCTACAGTTGTTACCCACTTTTGCATCTCCTTTCTTGGGGATTGGAACGCATATTGACCATTTCCAGTTCGTTTTCCATATTTGTTGGCATATTCTTGTTAGGATCTGGACTGATTCAGTCCCTGCAGCTTAGAATAGGCCTGCCGTTCTCCTATCTACTCTTCATGCAAGTGCTTTCCAAGGAGTTTTCCACTTCACTTTCTAGTATTTCAGGTTCTTCTTCATAGGATTCCTCTTCATAATAGACTGTTATCCTTTTGCCTCTCTGTATCATTCCTGTGTGTATTGTTTCCACCTTCTCTTTATTTTATCTAGGTCAGATAACACAGTCCCCTGTTGGTTTTTCAGCATTCCTAGTCTAGGTTTGAATTTCCCTTTGGTTTCTCGAATCTCTTGAAAGAAGTCTCTTGCTTTTTTTCTTTTTTATCTTCTTTTTCTTTGCACTGGCCATTCCAAAATATCATTTTGCCTCTCTGTGTTAGGTGCTGGAAAGCTGCATTCAGGCTGTTGGCCCTCTTTCTGTCGTCTATTGCTCTTGTTTCTCGTCTGTCCTGAACAATTTTGTGCACTTTCCATTGTCCATCTATGCTTTTTTTTTCCCTCTCTCCACCCCCTTCTTTTTGCTGTAGGCATCATCTCTTGGCAGCCTTCCCTGATAAAAGCTTTGATTTCAGTCTGTAGTTCCTCTTGTTTATGGACCATTGAGTCCAGTAATGCAAATCTGTTCTTTATGTGGCCTTTAAACTCCTTAGGAATCTCATTTAAGCTGAATCTTAGCAGTATGCTTCTGTTAGTGATCCTTTTCGGCTTTACTCAGATTTTTGGTATTAAAAGTTAATAGTCATGACTGCAATCTGCTCCTGGCCTTGTTTGGCAGTGAGAATACAGCTTCTCTATCTCGTCTTTCCAATGCACTGGGCTGCTGGGTATGGCCATGGCATGCACACACCAATTCACAAGCATATACACACGTGCCTGCACATGTACATATGCATAAACACATGCACAGCTCTGCACATGTGTACATACAGAGGATCACTGGACAGTGCGAGCTGCTTTAATTTCACTGCCACCTCACGTAAATTAAGATCGCTGTTTCCTGAGCCTCAGGAAAACAACAGTCACGCACCTCTCGCAACCATCTTGTGGGAGGTGATTGAAACCCCATCAGTGAGGGAGTTCAAGGATAGGCTGGACATGCACATGGTAGGCATGTCATGAGCGGAGCCATCTGGAGCCAGGGGTCAGACTAGATGGCCCGGGAGACCCCTTCTGGCTCGCTCAGTTTCTGTGTTGTTGGGGGAAAACAGCATTTGAAGGGAGTCATCCTCAAGCACCCCGTTTCCTAGCTGAACGAGCTCCCACTAACTCACCAAACAGCTGTTGGGAGCCTTGCTTTACTGGGAAGCCAGGTCTGTAAGAAAGTGCACTGACAGCTGTGGCGATGGGAGAATTAGTGCCAGTGCGCCCTGCAGTGCTTTTTTGGTTTAAAAAAAAAAAAGTGCCGGAACTCATGTCTTGGAGTCACACTTTTACACTAAAAAAGATTTTCAATTCACCAACTTTTTTTGAAATAAAGAACTTATTTACCTTTTGGACGTAGGCAGTCACTCTACACACACATAAACATAATGGTCGCTGCCGGCAGTAAGCACTCAGCGCGCGACCACACGACCGATCCCAAGCCGAGCAGCGCCCTAACAATCAGCACGGACACACAAGCAGCCCGCAGGCAATTCAAAATCACTCCATTGGAAAAATCCGTCAAAAAACGGTGCCGGAACGCCGTTCTGGTGCGTTCTATGACAAAAAAAAAGCCCTGGCGCCCTGGTTGAGTAGGTCAGACTCCCTTCTGATCCCACCACAGCATGTCTGTGCAGAGACAGCACGATCTGCCAAATATTGGCTGTTCTGCATCTATAAAAGGTAGAAGAGTCCTCCGTGGAGATGAAGCTGCAACCCTATCAAGCAAATTTACGAAAGGGGGACCTCCTGATAAGGAGGTCAACATCTAATGGAAGATCCTGCCCTGCAGTGAGATACAGTCTACCCCAAATCAGAGGGATGAGTTTGTGACTGTCCCTGTGTACAGTTACGTTGCACAGGTTCCACTCCTTTCAGGGCAGGAAGGGAGGCCAAAGGGTTGACTGATGACTGGCACAAATGCTGATTCTGGGTGTTTAAGGCTGGCCTGCATTCTGCATCTCACTCTGTTTTTTTTATTCAGAAAGTTGCTATCATCTTATGATGCTCTGAAGAGGATTGCTAGGTGCTTGATCATCTAAGAGCTTTCATCGCTTTACAAGTAGCATGCATGCAAATATTTTGGCAGGTGTGGCTGTTCCTTTCAAAGTAACACTGAGATACGATAATGTTCATCTGGCAAAATGTTCCCTTTTGTGCAACTTTAAAGGGACAGGTCTTGACAAGTCTGATAACTGCCCTCAAAGTTTCAGCTTAATCTCATCTCTCCGCTGAGTGGCTTGGCACTTTTTACAAAAGCCTGGATTTTTTTAAACCATTCAAAACTTATTAATAGGCTTTTGTTTCCATTTCAGTTCTCTAAATGACTAGTGAAGATTTGTCTTTCCAATATGATATTGGAAGGAGAAGCAATTATGTGGGAAGCGGCAAGGAAGTGCAAGTCGAGCGCATCAATGCTTATATTTGCAACCCCACTTACAACACGAACAAAGCTTTGATTTTGGTTCATGATATATACGGATGGCAGTTCTCAGACACCAGATATGTCGCCGATATTCTTGCATATAATGGATATGTGTAAGTTGCTGCTTTTATTATTACTATTCCAAGTATTTGTAGCTCTTTTTGGAATTCAGTTCTTACTAACTAATGTAAATAAATGAAACAAATGTCAAATCATGGAAATTTATACTAGACACAACAGATGTAATGAAGAAGCTGGTTCAGCTCACACAAGGCTTGCTACACAAGGCCTTTATTCTGCTACATCTGCTTTCAGGTCGGTCAAGAAACTAGCCTCAGAGAACTGCACAAGGAATGTACCCTTTTCTGTTTTTCCACTACATAAGCTCTAGGTGGCACTGTGGTGTAGCGGAATAGCACAAATGCACAAATGGAAACAACATGTTCTTTCTGCCTTCCAAAATAATTGTTCATTTTTCTATCATCTAAAAACTCACAGGAAGTGGTGTCTATAAACATAATCAAAATCAAAAGATCAGAACCCATAAACAACCACAAGCAGGAAATGAAGAACACACAATAGAAAAGCTTTTCTTGTGTAGAAAAGCTTTCAACCATCAATTCTCTTAAAGAAATTAAGCCATTTCAAGGCCTTGTTAAAGGTCTACTCTGAAGTAACTAAGTAAATGTGAATCTGTTCTTTTTTACTCTCTTCAGCTTCTCTGTTCAATACGATTGACCCGGCCCCTAGTGGTTTTCATACATAATGGTTATTTGTGAACTTTGTCCAGATGCTCTATTGAACGCAACCTCTGTTGAACTCCCCCAAGTACATATCAGGGAAGATTTCCTGCAAGTCCCAGGTGTTTAGTACACTGTTTGCACAAGCCCATAGTATGTCTGAAAATGAAATGGCTTCACAATGTGTGAAGCAGAGTTTTCTATCATAAAAGCTGTGCAATCCTATCCATTTCCCAGCGAGGGTGAGTTCCAAAGGGTGAGGCATCATTGGTAAACTCCTGGGTTTTGGCTTGCAAAAGCCCCTTTTTCTCAACCACAACACTGTTCTTTACACAGAGCATGCAAACATTCAAGAGACATTGCCTCAGGATGCTTCGTGTGCATGCACCACATCTTCTAGGCAAAAGAACGGAGGGGGCTTTGCCCAGTGACCAAACACCCTCATCAAGAAGTAGCCGGCCCTCCTTGGTACTAGAGTCTGAATTGCACAGAATTGGCTAGTAACCTTTTGCTTTTGCCCCATACAGAACCATCTGCCCAGACTTTTTCCTGGGAAAAGAACCTTGGAAACCCACTGATAAATGGAAGGATTTTGCGGACTGGTTAAAACACCGAGATCCCACGAAAGTGAATAAGTAAGGCTAATATTTATTTCAAAAGTATAAGAAATTGCTAAGTGTCAAATGAAGAGATTACTTAATTAAGTAATCCTACAAGGACATACCTAGAAAGCAATCCAGTGATGAAGCCTATAATATTTCAGACATGAAGGATTACAGGTGTCCAATGAAAGGCAGAAGAAGATGGAGGTAGAAGCTGATGACAGATTCCTTCAACCCATCCTGACAGATTCCTTCCACTCTTAGATTCCAGCCATCTAAGCAAACACCTTCAGGATAGTTCATATGCTGGCAGAACCTGCCTCCCCTTCTCTCCATCTCCTGGGATGCCCCCAGAAGGATGCCTCTGAGTTTGTTGTTGTGAAAGCTCAGCCAGCACAGGTCTTTCTGCAGCAGGTGTGAGGATGGAGGGAGTCAGAGCAAGTTTCTAAGGTTGGAGCTGGAAGACCAAAAAGCCCTGTGACCAGTTAGAGGCTGCCTGGTGGCTAGAGGATTGCCCTGTTGATGGACTTTGGGTTGTGATGCTTCATGTTTCAGCTGGTCAAAAAGCACAGGTCTGCAGCACCTCAAGACCAGGACACCCCCAGGGATCCCCAGAGAGCCATGCTGCTTTCTACTGGCTCCACTCCTTTTCCCTAACCATTGACTGTTGGCAGTTTTCCAGCTTTTGTACAATATTTCCCATTCTCAAAGGCTGAAACAAGCCTTCAGCTACAATGTGGTGGCACTTTAGGTATTTAGGACTCTGCCCCCACCCTTCCCCTTTACTTTCAGCCACACACTCCCCTAAATTGCGGCCCCTGAACGTTTTCCAAAGGGGAATGCAGCCACTGAGTTGAAAGAGGTTCTGCACCCCCGATGTAGCACGAGCCTATTTGCCCAGAAGCTGACGCTACTGAGAACAGCACAGCATCATCCATGTTCTGTAAGAAGCCTGCACCTGTGACCTATTCAGCCAAACTCAATCCAACAGCTGCCAATGTGGGTACATCAGCTTGGCCAGGAATTAATTACATGAAGAGCAGAGCTGTCAAGCACTTGTTGGTGGCCTACGATACCTGGTGCCCGCATTGATCTGGGATGCTTCCAGACTGGGGACCAGTCATTGTTCTGCTTCTCAACTCCAGGTACAATTGCAGCTGGCATTCTACACTTCTGCAGCTTTGGGGACAATCTAATGGGAGTTTAGACAGAAGCAGCCCTGCAATACCCAGCATTCCCTAGTCTAAACATGCACGGTCAACATGCCTCTATGTTTTGCTTTCGCTAGCAGTTTAACATAGTATGGTAGAGAAGGGCCATTGCATACAATTTTAGCTGTATGTTTACCTGTTTTCATCCATTTTAAACACATTTTCATTTCAGTACCACTTATATAGAAATATACAAATCTGCATTTTCTTATGCAAAGTGCAAATGAAAAAGTATTTTAGCACACAGTTTTAAAATCGATCACAACATTTGTTTTATATTTGACTACAGTGGTGCTGACTGGCAACCTAATAGTGAAGGTGCGGCAAAGTGAACATACAGAGCTAAAGGTTCCCAACCACCCAGTACAGCTCAGCCATCAGAAATGTCACTGCGTCTGTCAGAAACATGTCTCTTTAAAAGCACTAAGGCAATCTACATCTTCAGAGATTGCTTGCCTGCTGTTCTACCTTTGTTTAAGTCAGCTTGTCTGGGCTCCCAAGAGAAACAGATTCAGAGAATATTTTTTAATTTAGGGTAGTTTTATCCTGTCCTGTACCAATTGTCTCTGGACGGCTTACAATGTAATAAATAAACAATCAATACAGCAATCAATAACAAGATAAAATACAACTGAGGATGTTAATAAAACCCGATTAAAATATTTAAACTTTAAAATATTGGGTAAATAAAAAGGTTTTAACCTGGCGCCGAAAAGCATATAAAGTCAACGCCAAGAGAACCTCTCTGGGGACTGCACTCCAAGTCAGGGTGCCGCTGCAGAGAAGGCCCTTCTCCAGGTGTTCACTCCTAACCTCCTTCAAGGAGGGTTCCCGGAGCAGGGCCTCTGCTGCAGATCTTACAGGGTGGGAGGGTGTACAGGAAAAAGACATTCCTTCAGGTATCCTGGCCCCAATCCTGGTCACGTGTCCCTACCATTCTTCCATACTCATTTGTCTTTCCATGTGTGCAAAAGGCGGACCACTCTCAGATATTCCTCCCACTTGTTTGTTTGCATGGACTCTGACATGGCGTCTCAATGCTCTCCTGCCGGCTGCTTCTTCCATTTAGTATAGGGAACCCCAGACATTGCAAATGCATGCAGTTGGTTTCTGAGGACACAGTATTCAGTCAGTCTGAAACTGTCTTCTGACAAACCACATGGCAGAAATGCAGCAGGACAGTGTGATAAAAAAGTCAGTAGGGAGGGGTGCAGGAGCAAGTTCTAATAATGTTGTGATTTCTTTTTGGACATTTGCACCAATGTCTTAGTTCTCTTCTGTTTATGTCCTAGGACAACTGCTATTTTTGTGAGGTATCTAAAGGAGCAGTTCAGTGCAACGAACATTGGTATCGTTGGGTTCTCCTGGGGTGGAATGGCCGTACATCACTTGATGCTGACAACCCCTGAATTAAAGGCTGGGGTATCCCTCTACGGTAGGAAAGAACACCTGCTAATTTGAGCCGGCTCATGTGCTTTTAAATCTTTAAACACTTCTAGACGAACTCCGCAGAAGGGTAAATGGCAAATTTTAATCTGACTTGTTCTTTTCTGCTACTACAACACTGCTTTGGCCAGGAAAGAGCAGGATTCCCATACATGCTTGTGTGTGACATACTTCTTGGTGCAATCCTATGTATGTTTTAGAATGAAAAAGTTACTCGAACTCCCTGCCTTCCCCAGTCAAGCTTACTAGGGCCTTTTTTCTGTCTAAACATGCCTAGCATTACACCGTTAGGGAACTGTGGCTTCTGGAGGCTGTGAAGACTGGCACGAAGCTATATTTGCATAAATAAATATTAAGGAGGAAATAAGGGACTTCGCTAGACTCAGATTTCATGCTTGCTGAACTTTTGAGTCACTGCGTGTAGCGTTGTACATTAAGCTGATCCGTGGCTCAATACATATTTATTTATTATATAAATATTTGTTTGAACAGCTTTAAACCTGATATCTTTTTATACTGAGACCATGTGGCATAACAGGAATACATGCTACTGAAGTAAGCAGAAGTCTTTGTTCTTTGAGTTTTCAGCTCACCTTGTGCATCATCATCACTTCATGTATGCGCTTTGTTCAAATCTGTTTTAGGAATCATCAGGGACTCAGATCAGAGGTATGACTTGCTGAATCCCACCTTTTTCATATTTGGCGGAAAAGATCACACAATTTCTCTCGATCAGGTAAGCAGCTGTATTCCTTGAGGACTGATAGGCCTGCAGGGCATAAACGAGAGAGGATGCAGTACCCAAAGCACACCGACTCCCTATTCTCATGTACTACTTCCATTCCAACATCACCATTCCATTCGGAGAAGGAAGTGGCAGGATCTGTCACCAAGGGATCTTGCAGAGGCGGCCAGTGTGTGTAGACCCGTCCTTGCCCACGCTTCTTCGCAATGCATGACTAGAGTTATAGTAAGCTAATACCCTTTGCCATTCTAAGAAGTGATGAGAATTTAACCAGGCATCAGGTGCAGAGAAAGAGGTTAACATCTGTGGGAAAACCACCATAACCTGTATGCTTAAAATACTTGTCGTAAAAATAATTAGCCTGTCTGCTTAGAATACTGTTGGGAGATGTCTGCAGGCTGCCTGAGAGCCATCTGCCTTGGAACCTTCTCCATAATTCTACATCTTTGCGATCAAGCTGCAGCTGCTTAGTGGAGAAGGACAGAACATCCCCGGAGATACTTTTCTTATTTAATATCATTTTGCATGTGTGTAAAGAAGGATCATCATCACAGATGGGGAAAGAGTATCACCACAGTGCTGTGGTTGGTTGGTTGGTTGCTTGCTTGGTTACTTTTCTATACTGTCCACCAAGCCAAATTTCACAGGCAGTTCCCATCAAGTAAAGTAGAGGAGCTCCAGCCAGAAGGAACCTACTGCTGTTTAACTTGAACTGAATTTAGCACTGGGTTTTCAAGCTTCAGTGAATGCTACTTGCAAGCCTATAAATAACTAGGAAATTTGATTTTTAACTTCCTGTAAGAAACTAAGATCATGGCATCTGGTCCTATCACTTTCTGTCAAATAGATGGGGAAGACATGGAGGTAGTGACAGATTTTATTTTCCTGGGCTCCAAGATCACCGCAGATGGGGACTGCAGCCAAGAAATTAAAAGATGCTTGCTCCTTGGAAGGAGAGCTATGGCAAATCTAGACAGCATACTAAAAAGCAGAGACATCACCCTGCCAAAGTTCATATAGTCAAAGCTATGGCTTTCCCATTTGTAATGTATGGCTGTGAAAGTAGGGAAGGCTGAGCACCGAAGAATTGAGGCCTTTGAATTGTGGTGCTGGAGGAGACTCCTGCGAGTCCCTTGGACCGCAAGGCGATCAAACTGGTCAGTCCGAGAGGAACCAACCCTGACTGCTCTTTAGAAGGACATATACTGAAGATGAAACTCAAATACTTGGGCCACCTAATGAGAAGGAAGGACTCCCTGGAGAAGAGCCTAATGCTGGGAACAATAGACAGAAAAAGAAGAAGGGGACAGCAGAGAATGAGGTGGCTAGATGGAGTCACTGAAGCAGTCAGTGAGAGCTTAGGTGGACTCCGGGGGGATGGTGGAGGACAGGATGGCCCGGAGGAATGCTGTCCATGGGGTCGTGATGGATTAGGCACGACTTCGCGAATAACATAACACCAGAAACAACCTATGAACTGGGTTTATCTTACAGGTGACTTTGCTGGAAGAAAAACTGAAAGAGTACTGCAGGGTGCCCTACAAAGTTAAGGTGTATCCTAAACAAGTTCATGGTTTTGCCCAGTGTAAGCCTGAGGACATGAAGCCGGAAGACGTGCCTTACATTGAAGAAGCAAGAATGGATATGATGAGCTGGCTGAACAGATACATGATGGTTTGAAGCCACAAACAGCCCCTCTGCTCTGTTCTTGACTCTCAGAGTTGAGGAGCACAGTATTATCCATCAGACTTTGAAGTAGATAAATGACGTCGGAAAGAGCTTGAGATGATATATATGAAATTATTTGTACCTTGCTGTCCTCAAATATTGTTGTCATTGTCTTAGGAAAGCACTAGTTAAAAGCTTTCATTAGTTATTGAAAGCTTAGTGAAGCATTCAATACTGGAAATCTTTTTCTGATGCCGCACATCTTATAACGAAGTCAACCTTTTAAAGGTTGCTCAGTTCTTCTTGGTTCCCCACCCCACCCTGCATGTATGTGCTGCATTATCTTTCTCTGAATGTGTTAAAATGTTCAGAATCTCGACATGCATTATATACAAACGAAATTTGGGATTTTAATCAGGGATCCGCTTTTGGGGGAAAGATGGACATCCATGGAAGGCATGAGGCATGCAGAAGCTCCCCTTGTCTTCCAAAACATCTGGAGGGTCAGTTTATTCCCTCCTCAAGAGGAGAGGCTGAAATACCACTGGGATTTCTTGGTGGATGATGATGACTGGTTTCACCCCACCCCACCTCCCAGAATGCTCCCCTCCCCTGTGCCAGCTGGAGATGGTCTTCCATTCTCAGAGCCTAACTAGCTTTGAAAGACTCATGTCCTCTGTGAGGGTGAAGAGGGGCCTCCAAAGTCAGTCATTTCCCAGGTTGGAGCCGAGACTCTGACCTATCGGATCCTCCCTCTCCAGACAATGTCATTGCACCCTTGATTATTTTTTTCTTTAAAAAATTCTGGGGCTCTGTGTGCCTTGCAGCCATGCTCTATTTCGGAAACCCTCCATAAGTGGAGTTGTCGTGGTTATTCCTTGCAAGTGGAGAAAATTACTTTTAATACTGAAGTAAAGTAATAATAATTAGTAATACAGAAATGCAAAGATGGATGATGGTTCATGTTAAATCCTGTCAGTTCTCATGAAATGAAGATATTGAATTGAAGATTAAAGTAGAAAGAGATCAAACATGACACCCAAATTGCAAGCTTGGAAGGAAAGAGAGCTCGCGCTATTGTCAAAAAACAGTGCAGAGTCTGCATGGCACACATCTGAGACAGCTTTTCAGGAAGATACGGGGACCGCTCCCGCCCAGTGAGACAGCTGCGCCATGCAGAGAGACATCTCAGAGAGTCGAACTGACTTGTGGTCATGAACTCTCCTCCCTCCATTGAGAGAGCTGTGATTAGAAAGCCTAAAATTGCACAAACCTGTATAGAAGAGATGGAGTACATTGCCTTGCCTTGACGTAGGGGTGTTTACTTGAAGACAAAATGGAAATAAAGTGTACTATCACACTAAAAATCCTGAGCTTTCTGAAAAGAAATGATAATTTCAGGCTTCCAAAGAGGTAGAGAATAAGGTTAGATCATTTGTAGTACTGGGAAAGAAGGAAGGAAGGAAGGAAGGAAGGAAGGAAGGAAGGAAGGAAGGAAGGAAAGAAACTAGATACATCATAAGAAATGAAGTTCTCTTTCGCAAGCTTCTCATGGGTATAACATTTCCAATTTCCTCTCTCGGGTCTCCTTTTGGAGATCTGGATGGGAAAAACCTCCAAAGAACTCCAATGTTCATGGTGTTCCCAGATATTCTGGTTTGTGAGTCTACCATGGTTTCAATTGGGTTTCCAAATTTCCAAGAGAAACCAGTTCTTCCCATTTCCAACAAAGACGACCAGTATAGATTTCAGATTGGCTAGTCCCTGCAGCATTCATGGACCCATACCTCCTACTTGGAGCAGAAAATTACTTTCTTTTAAAAAAATGGATCGATAAGAGCCTATGACGTTGAAGTTCTTAATTAGAGACATTGTATGATCCATCATAACAAAATATTCTCTGGGCAGTATATACTAAATAAGCATAAAAACAATTTAAACACAAAATAAAACTGTAATATAAAACATCATAACTATTTCGTGTAGAGTGGTAGTAATACCTCTCTTGATCTAGAAGCCACGCTTCTGGCTATGCAACCAAGGGTGGCGTTCGCCCTCTTGACTGCCGCATCACACGGCTGGCTCATGTTCAGCCTGCAGTCAACCAGCACTCCGAGGTCCCTTTCACAAGTGCTGCTCTCCAGCCACTTATCACCTAACCTGTACTCATGACACCTATTCCTAGAACCCAGATCCTCTGAGCCACATCTCATGCTCTTAGCCACTCCACCACACTGGCTCTCTACATGCTCTGTGAAATGATCCGCTTGCTTTCTGGAAGCTGAGGGAACAAGATGTTCACTGCACCCTTCTAAACGCTAAAAGACTGATATTACAAGATTGGAAGGATAAATGGTCGCCACCTGTAAAGAGATAATTATTAGGTTTGTTCTTGTTTACATACTTCACAGAAATCTGCACAAAGACACATACACGTTGAAACGGTTATACTTAAATCATTGTAACCACATTGTTCTTCCCTTCTTGTCACTGCTGACTTTAAGTTGATTTACGTACTGAGCCAAGGTCAAATTTTATTTTGTATTGTTACTTTTACCCTGTATTGTTATTGTATAGGCAGAGCAGGCAAAACAATGGTGGCTACACAAAAGTTGAGAAAGAAGGCTATTTATTTGGAGAACTGACAAAATGATCTATGATATATAATGTATTGATTTTAGTATATTATACAGAATTGAAACATAGAAACAGAGTGAGTCAGAAGGGGCCTCCTGGGCCATCTAGTGAAAGAAAGCATACTGGTTTCAATTCTGTGAATTCCAGACTTGCTTTATAAAGTACAGTATTTTCAATATTTAATTTAACAGGAATGATTATATGAAAGCAACTCAAGTGATTTCTGAAACTCATAAAAAAGAAAAGGCAATGGTGCAGAAGAGCATAGCTTAAAATCTCATTTAAAACACCCCCTTCCTAACATTTGGAGAAATATTGAGGAGAGCAAGGAAATTCCATCACTGAAGGAGCCCAAGCACATGGTCTTTTTTCTCCCAGGGCTTTTTCAATAATTTATACAGTCTGCACCTTTCACTATTAAATCTGTGTTTTAACTTTGCCATCAGGTTTTTTAATGTTATATTTCTTTTGATCTTAATGTTTTATCGAGATTTTTCAGCAAAAGAAAAGAAATAAAAAAGGAAAGAAAAATGGGGTTACAATTATTCTGATTCTAACAATTCAATGATTGAATTCAATGTTTCTAACGTTTATTTATTGCTAATAGAACAGTGCCACATTTTTTCAATCTGTGTGATTTGAAGAAGACTGGCTTTAACTGTAAATTATGTGCACTATATAATAAAGCAGGCAAAAGACCTGTGCAAGAACAAAATGCAGAACCGCCAAAAGGAGTTGAGCAACAGTGTGCTGAGTCAGGCAGTGTGTTTTGCGCCCTGCAAAAAAGCCGAAAAGGGTAAAGATTAAGGAAATCAAGGGCGGCGTGACTGGGCCAGACCAGCAAAGAGGAGGAGCTTGATGGGCTTCCCAGCGCCTGACTGGGTCACTTTGTGCCAAGTCTGGCTGCTGTTTCGTAATGAGCGAACTCTTTCCTGCCACTTCTCAGCAAAACCTCAGCGGGAATCTCCGAGCGTTGCCAGAGGAGCTGCTTGCGAGAAGGTGAAGTTCTGCTCTGTAGTGGCCAAAGAGAATTCCTCCTCTTTTTAATAGCCTTCAGAGTAGCAGAAAGTCAGCTGTTCTTGTCTGCCTTAGGAAAAGAAGACTTCATTCCAGGTATGTAGCAATCCCATGCTATAGGCTAAGCTGCTTTCCACGAAAGGCAGGCAAGCTTGGAGTACCTTTGCAACAAGAGCTGGGTGATTGTTCTTCCAAAAGGCAGGAAAAATCATTTTTTCCCCTTGAGGGAAGGACTGATATGTTACTGCAGTGAGCTGTGATCAGAATGTGTGAGTTCAGGAATGCGCTGGAGCAAAGGTTAGTGCACATGCTGAGTACTGTGCTGTTGTGGTGGCCACAGCTGATTGTGTGGTGCAGTTAGGTGTGTCCATTGGCTCCAAACTTACGATACAAGTTTTCCCTTGGTGACGTTAAGCCTTCCTTAAAGGTTCTGCTTCATGTTTAGTGTCGTGTAATGTTTGGAGTGTTGAACTGAGAAGACACATGCTCTAGTCCCCACTCGGCCATGAAGATTTGGGCCAGTCGCCACCTAGCCTACCTCAGATTGTTGTGAAGATAAAATGGAGATTATGTCCCATTATGTCCCAGAGAGGAAGATCAAGATCTCTTCTTACTAATGCCAGAATTCAAGCTGCAGCAACCCAGATTCAGGCTGGACTTCGGGAAAAGCTTCCTCAGTGTCAGAGCCATACGACAGTGGGACCGGCTGCCTGGAGAGGTGGGGGGCTCTCCCACACTGGAGACATGCAGAAGGAAACTGCACAGCCCTCTGAGTGGGATGGTGTAACTTGGTGTCCTGGAACAGCAGCGGGTGGGACTTGATGGCCTTCACGGTCCCTTCCAGCTCTACTTTTCTGTGATTCTATGCTCCAACCTAAGACAAAAGATACGCCAGCTTGTAACTAACTGCAAGAAACTTTTATTGCAGAAAATCATTGAAAGTGGGGATCAATGTCCACTCCTGGATGGGTGTTTTTCAGATCTCAGGTACAGAATCCTAAATGCCAGGATAGAGAATCCGAAGTGAGATTCCTATGAAGCACGAATGGGAGACCATTTCCAGCCAGACCTGGACTGCTTCCATCAGAGAGGAGGCTGAGTCTGAGCCAAGGGCTATCAGCAACTGCTAAGCTACTTGCTGGTTTGACTTGAGTGCTTGAATTTGTTTCCTAAGGCTGGCCTTTTGGAATAAGGTATTCCTTGCTGAGAGATTGGCCACTTGGGCTGTGCACACTGCCAATTGGCTCTCCAAGCTGCCAATCTCTTCTCTCATGCACCGTCATTGTCAGTCTGGCGTATCTGGGATTTTAGTAAGAAGTCACTGGACTAAACTTGGAAGGAATGGTGCTTGTCTGGCCAAATTTTCCAGCTCTTCAGCACCTAATTTTAGCTCCTCTGTGTTCTGGCACAACACCTGCAGCTTATACACAGAGGCTTGTCTGGCATTTTTTTTTTTTTTTTTAGCAATATAGACTTTGCACTCTTCATTATCTGGTGCCTTGAAGCTGTGCTTCTTGTTTTGTTGCTCCAACTTGTATCTCTAAAACTCTTTGATATCACACTGCTGTCCAAATTTACCCTACAGCTGCATCCAGGTTCAGTGCTTGTTGCTTTTCATTCTCATTACAGAAGCCTAATAGATCCTGCCAAGTACTGTACATAACTCTTCGCAGATATCTTACATGGATCTCCAACTTGGCAAAACCCCTTTCCAGTTCTGAGGGCTCTTCCTTGAGCCATTGAGCGAGTTGGCCAGACAATAGTCCCACTGGCTGCCCTTCACCTGAAACATTCAGGAGAACAGCCTTCTCACCCCAGATAATGTAACACACAGTTGACACATGCACCAACCTGCTGCAAAATTTAGCTTTTGCTCGAACGAAGGGGACCCCTTTCCCCCTTTGATTTCCATAAATGTTTTTCAAACAACAGCCCTAGGAACCAAGGAAGGCTCAGAAGCAGCAGAATCCTAAGGCTATCTAGATAGAATCTAGCTGGCCACACGGTTTTTGGAGTCCCAGCATCAGAGACTTGTTCTAAAGACTCTGAGCCCAGTGACCCTCGCAGCAGGTGTGGAAAGAAAGGCTCTGGTTGCAGCTCGGAGGGCTCTTGGAGATGGGCTCTTGGGTGTGAGGAGTGCTCTGTCTCGTGAAGTCGCGCCTGCTCCATTCCTGCCCATTCCAAGGCCGCTTAGATGGCTGAAATGGGCTGCCTAAGTGTTTTGCACGGCGAGAGGAGCACAGAGGCGGCTTCTGCCTCCATGCTTTTCCCACAGCGCACGGAATGCCTGTTGCTGGGAATGAGAAGGATGACTGCTTTGGGCATTCGTGCTCAAGGGCTGCTGGCTGGACTCCAGAGGAATCAGAATCGGAATGTGAAGCAGAACTGTGGGGAGCTGGGAATGGAGGCCATTCTGAGCCACTGAGATGAGAGAAGCACTTATCTCACGAGGGCTGCAGTCTCCAGGTGAGCAAGCAGTCCCTGGGAATAACCAAGATGCACAACTGGCAGGAGAAGAGTTGGAGCAGACTCAGCAAGCACGGCTCCTGACCCCAAGCAGAGAGGGCGGCCCAGGGAGAGGACCAGCATGCAGCAAGGAGGTGCGCTTGTATTCAGAAGGCCCCGCCCAAAGGCATGCTCGTAAGGAGGGTTCCTGGAGAGGAGAAGTAGATTGGGCTCAACAAACTGCTCTGTGCATGCTCAGAGATTCATTCTGGGGGCTTTGTGCTTTTTGATCAATAAAGAACACTTTGCAAGGAAAACAGTCTGTGGCTTTCCAACATGTGAAGGAGGAACTCTGTCTCACAGCACCTGTAACCTTCCAAAGCCAGAGACTTACAGGCTGTCTCATTGGATTTTGTCCTGTGAGTCTTTGGATGAAGCTTCTTGGCTATATTCACCACATGTTGGGAGCTGAATTTCTCTACTTTCTTTTCAAGCAGCAGGAAGTCTGTTTGCTTATGAGCTCTTCAGTTCTCATATGCAGCTAGCGAACTATATAGCCTCCAGAAAATGAGCATCTATGCATGAACAGAGGGATTTGTTGAACCCAAACTGGAAACTACTTCTGGGAACCTTCCTTTTCAGTAACCCTGGGCTTTATCTCTCCAGGTGGGCTGCCCTGGAGAAAGGCTAATCTACACAGGCGCTCTAACAGGTTAGCCCTGCTCTCCTGATGCCGCATCATGGGGGTCAGTGACTGGACTGGGCTTGTCCTCCTCCTCTCCTTTGTCCCCTTCCTGCACCTCCGAACCCTGTTGGTTCCTATGGTTGGCCTGAACACCTGGAGATGGTGGCCTTGAGGTCACTCAACCTCCTCGGCCATCTCTCTGTCCACATTCCCAGCTCTTCCAGTCCTCATCTAGAGAGTCGGAGCCACCCTAGCCCTGGGAAATGTGCCGAAAGCTTCCTCTTTCAATCCCAGCACTGAAGAACATGTGTATACAAGTCCTGATTTGGGCCATTTAGTTATCTACATTGTCAGCCCTTCCCAGAGATTTAATCTTCTACAGGGAGATATATTTACCTTCCAATTGATGCAGGTGCAATGTAATGTCAAAAAGAAATAAAGAAAGCTGCACTAGTAAAGAGAAAATATTTCAAGAAACTATAAAGCAATGTTAGCATGTGATCATATCTGATGAGCACAAGTTGGATTTCCATCCAATCATCCGATAAGGTATTTCTTAATCGATAAGAAAGTCTGCTTAGGCCGATGCTATGCCGAAAGGCCCCAGGTTTCTTCCTCACTGTCTGAAGACACGGCCCTCTTCAAGGTACATGTGAGCGGGGCTCAAGTATATTCCTTTTTCTGTCTAAGCATTTAGATACAATGGCATGGAAACAGAGAGCAATGGCCCCTTCCTCACTGAAATCGTAGCCATGAAAAGCAATAGAAAGTTGCGAACACTATAGGGAAAGCGTTAACTGAAGGGAAATATGCGTGCATCAGCTACACATGCTGTTTATTACTGTAAGAAAATGCCATGCATGCCAAGGAACAGAAATTATCCTGTGGTATTATCAACAATCAGAAGGCGTTTATGAGAACTGTGCCTATGAGGCCTTTTGTTAATTAACTAAAACTTCCCATAGTTGTGCTAATAAACAGCAAATGTTAATAGCAGATGCTCTAAATAGATACGGTTGACTCTGCATGGTAGGGCCGCCTTGTTTTAGCAGAATAAGCTGCAACGCTATGCACACTTACTTGAGAGTAAGCCCCATGGAACGCAGGTATTTCCGAGTCAACATGCTTCGGAGTGCATTGTCATTTTACCTGATGCACAATCAATTCTAAGTTGCTTCTGCATTCATTTCCCACCAATTCTTCTTCTATCCATAGAGCCTGGTATCATATCCCACAGTATTTCCAAGGATCCCTCCAACTACAAGGGCAGATTTTGAAGGTAACAATTTAGAGGGGGCTACTAAGGAAAGGGGATGCAAGAAGATTCTGTTCTGTGAAATCAGCTCCTTTAAGAGAGTCCCATGTCACTGAGATTTCTTTAAGAAGAGATTTTTGCCTTAACAGTTAAAATCCAAGTGCTGGATCGAGTCTTGCTTAGAAGAGAACAATTGAAATCAATGATATTCAGTATAATCGGGACGAACTTAAATCCGATTAATTTCAGTGGTTTTTCTATAAGCATGACAAAGTCTGGACCCATCTCTTAGTGTGTAGAAAACATTATCCTCTCATTTCTGCTAGCTTGTCTTAAAATATATCATCTTTTGGGGGCATCCAGGAGTGCTCCCTTGAAGTTTTGGCTACTCTAGTAGAAACTCTCTACCTTTGAAACTATAAATCACAGATTATTCAGACACACCTAGAAACAAAAAGCACCGCCAAGGACAGCTGCCCTCCAGCCATGTCCAAAAGCTTGATCTTGTATTAACCATTGTGAATTTTATTTTAACATTTACAGATGGCGAAAGAGGCGAGTCCATGCCCATGTGACCTCGGAGACAAGCTCGAGTACACAGGGGTTGGCCGTGAGGTCTCTGTGGGGCACATCAAGGCCTACTTAAGCCTGCCCTCCGTCAGCACGGACAGAGCCATCGTAGTGATTCATGACATATTTGGCTGGCAACTCCCAAATACCAGATACATAGCTGATATGCTTGCATGCAATGGATTCATGTAAGAAACTGCCCTTCGTATTCTCAGCCTTATCTCGTCCAATGGGCCCCTCCTACATTATGCCGGTGTACATAAAGTCAGCCTAATGCATTTGTTTAAACATACTTTCTGTGGCGAAGGTCACATGCATATAGGCCAGGGGTCCTCGAACTTTTTCACCAGGGGGCCAGTTGAAAGGGGCTGGTGCTGCGCACGGGCCGGAAAGGTGGTGCCGGCAGTGCGTGTGAGCCAGTGAGGGGGTGCGGGTGGGTGTGTGTGGCGAGGGGAGGGGAGGCGAGGCGAGGTGGGGGGTGGGCACGCACCGCAAGGTGGGCGTGCGAGGCAGCAGCTTGCCCGCGTGGAGATCATTTTCTACGAGTGAGTCCAAAGCGATCTTCGCGCAAGCAAGCCTCCACCTCCCTGTGCGGGGGGCAAGGTGGGTGGCAGCGGGTGCACGGTGAGCCCAAAACCTCTGAGGTAGGCCGGATAATGGGCATGGCGGGCCAGGTCCGGCCAGCGGGTCGTAGTTTGAGGACCCATGATATAGAACAATGTCTTTTGAATAATAATACAAATTGTGGGCCCACAAGGAATTACAGGAGCAATAAACAAACTGGAAAGTTCCCCCATAGCAAGCTACAAGAGCATTAAGCTATTATTATTATTATTAAAAAATATTTATACTCCACCCTATATGTAAAAATGTCTCAGGGTGGCTTAGAAAAATCGAAACAAACAATCCAACAATTAACAATAATTAAAATGTGCATAAAACCAACAATAACATTTCACAAATGAAAACAAAAACAAAAACTGGAGCAAAATCAAAATGTGACTGTGAAATAGTTAAAACCAGATTCAAATTCCTAGCATTTAAAATGGTGGGCAAATAAAAAGGTTTTTACCTGGTGCCGAAAGGAATATTAAGTTGGCACCAGGTGAACCTCTCTGGGGAGCGCATTCCATAGTCTGGGCACCACCGTAGAAACGGGGTAGATGAATGGGCCTCATTCACCTGAAAATTAAATTAGACATAACGGTTCATGCTGCTTTATGTTTTATGTGCAAATTTTTAAACATAAGGATTTCTCCCCACTCAGAGGGATAAGGGCTTTGGGAAAAGGGTTCAGTGAGGTGTCTCTCAAGCCATATGGGAAAGCACCATGGGCCAAACTCAGCCAAAGTACCGGAAGTTCCCCATTCCTGTCCTACAATCACCCAATACAAAATATTTGGACTCCACAGCAGTGATCCCACTTAGAGGGATGCATGGAAGGAGAATACAGCAAAATTCATGAGAAGAGTTTACAGGCATTACTGCCAAGGATTTTGAAAAAATACATCTCAATCCCAGCTCATCCACGTCCCATATCGTTCTGCCAGTCATTTTGCTACATTTTTGGTTTTGCTTCTGCAGAATATTTTTAATACATACATCTGCAAGCCCTCACCCCAAGCAAGGAGAGATTTCATAGATTATATGAACTGTTCATCCCATAACTCAATCCCAAGGGCTGGAGAGCCAGAAAGAAGATTGCAGTCCAGGGTTCAAGTATTCTGCCAGATCTTGTGTTCTCTGCCAGGGAACTGCACAAGATTTTTGCATTTTGGACTGCACACAGAAAGGAAAGTGACTGCAGTCTTTGCTTCCCTTCAGCTGAATATTTAGTTGGCAGAATTAAGGGTTCTTCCCATTCAGGACTGCAGGAAACCAGCCTGCAACAGAAACTTGCTAATGCGGTTCAGAGATTCTGGCGGGGACAGATTTAAGAAGGAATAAAAGAGTAGTTTGTTTATGATGTATTACTGATACCAATAAACTTGATATATAAACATCTCTAAGCTGCTTACATATAAATATTAAAACATAGCATACATGGTGTGCTACTGAAAACCATTCCAACTGTAATAACAATAAAAGCAATTAAGAGAAGAGTAGCCTTGGAGCTGCATATGAGCTGCATCTAATTCAATATAAGCCGGAGAAGAGCAGGGTGAATGAGTGGTTTTCAAGAGGCATTCCAAAGATAAGGCATTTTCTGCCTGGGGGAAGGTGGGCACTTCTCTTGTCTTTGCTTTCCTTCGTGTTTAGGCACCGGAGTCTTTAACCTCTGCACAACCCACAAGCCTAATTCTCACCTCCAGGATACAAAATACGTATTTTTATCTGTTTCATTTCTCTATTGCCTAATGGCCAGACCTCTTTGAGCATGGCTCCTATGTTGCCAGTGTCTTTGCTTTCTAGCGCATACCCTCAAGACTGCAAGAAACAGCTGTTGGGACTTGTGGCTACCAGTATTTCTGACCATACATCAGGGTTGCTGGGTCTGATGGGACTTAAAATCCAAAACACATGGAGAGCAGTAGGCTGGAGAAGGTTGCCATAGGTTCTGAAAATTCTCAGATCTTTGTCAGGCCATTTGTTATACTTGTTTACATGTTTGCTTTAGAATGCGAATGAATGGATATTTTCATACTTTGTGGGGGGTCCTCCAATAGGTGAAACTGATCCTCTTATAGGTGGTCCCATTTCAAATTGAAAGGCACATGGTCATTGAAGGTTGCTACCTGAAGGTGTGTCAATGACCTACATTTTTCATGGTGTTCCCATCCTTCTAATTTTCAGCTATTACAAAGTAAAATCAGTTCAGAAATTAATGAGTTGTTATCCATTTCAAATAGATATTCAATAAGTAAATAGACCTGAGCACAATCGATACCATGCCTGGCCAGTTCATACTCCCATCCAGAGGTGGGCACTTATTCATTGCTGACTAGGTTTACCACCTGATCCGTGCACAGGAGACTTGCCAAACATCTTCCACTGCTTTAAAAATCAGGAAACTGTTCCATTAGGGTGACGCAGCAACCTGCAATGTGCGCATAGAGCAGCATGCACAGACGCCTCCGATTCTTCTAAACTACTTATTGAACCAGGGCAAGTATTTTTAACTAGTGCCAGGTAATGTGGCTTCTGTATTTAGCATACTATAAATGGCTTTCTCGCCACGGTACACTGAAAAAATGTTCTTGGTATTTGTACAGTTTTTAAAAAGAAATTTTGAAATAATTGAAATTGGTAATAGGGAAGGGAGAAAGCTTCTGTGGTAAGTTAATATTAAAGCTACATTTATGCTTTATACAGAGCAATTTGCCCTGACTTTTATAAGGGACAAGAGCCTTGGAAACCATCTAACAACAAGCAAGAATTCAACGATTGGCTAAAGTCACGGGATCCCAACAATATTAACAAGTAAGAGTTTATTCTTTGTACTGTGACTATTTGAAGATGATTGGATGACTGGACACTTTAATGTGTACATATCAATACAGGTCTTGATTAGGGGGGAAGGTACATACCACTTCTTGTTGTTGTTAGTCACGAAGTCATGTCCGACCCATCGCGACCCCATGGACAACACTCCTCCAGGCCTTCCTGTCCTCCACCATCCCCTGGAGTCCACCTAAGCTCACACCGACTGCTTCAGGGACTCCATCCAGCCACCTCATCCTCTGCCATCCCCTTCTTCTTTTGCCATCTATTGTTCCCAGCATTAGACTCTTCTCCAGGGAGTCCTTCCTTCTCATTAGGTGGCCAAAGTATTTGAGTTTCATCTTCAGTATCCGGCCTTCGAAAGAGCAGTCAGGGTTGATCTCCTCTAGGACTGACCGGTTTGATCGCCTTGCGGTCCAAGGGACTCGCAGGAGTCTCCTCCAGCACCACAATTCAAAGGCCTCAATCCTTTGGCACTCAGCCTTCCTTATGGTGCAGCTTTCACAGCCGTACATTGCAACTGGGAAAACCATAGCCTTGACTATATGCACTTTTGTTGGCAGGGTGATGTCTCTGCTTTTTAGTATGCTGTCTAGATTTGCCATAGCTCTCCTTCCAAGGAACAAGCGTCTTTAATTTCTTGGCTGCAGTCCCCGTCTGCGGTGATCTTGGAGCCCAGGAAAATAAAATCTGCCACTACCACCATGTCTTCCCCATCTATTTGCCAGGAAGTGAGAGGACCGGATGCCATGATCTTTGTTTTGCACTCTCCTCCTTCACCCGCATCAAGAAGCTCTTTAGTTCCTCTTCACATACCAATTAGAGCTTTTTTATTTGTTGTCTGGGCAACCGAATAGTATCCACTGGCCTCAGGAGGCATCTGGCAGAAGAAAATTTAAGGCTTTAAATCCCAGTCAGTCTGTTGTGTGTGTTTTGACAAGGTTTGGAGAATGAGACAGGCTCGATTGCCATGGTAGATAAATTATTCTGGGGATAGATGGTCAGGATGAGTACAAAACTGTTATTTGTCCAGGATTTCTCAGTGTTGCTTAATATTAAACAGTAATGTATCCTCCTGGACCCCTCCTTCTAAAGGCTTCTCATTTGGAGTGCTTTTCAAACACTCAGTATTGCTCCTGAATGCTCCATTGACAACAACAGTGCTTTTTACCAGCCTAGGCTGATGTGAAATCTGTGCACTCACTTGAGAATGACAAAAAGGGTTGCCATTTCTGTCGCAGTTTGATAACATCCAGATTAGGCTACTCGTCAGTAATAACAGTAAGCAAAAGACAGCAACTGATTCATACTCTTGTGTGTAACTTCAATGTCACTGGCCTCCAGTTGATTTCTCAACACAGTTCCAAGTGCCACATTTGAGCCTTTACCACCATTATTACTGCAGTACTTTAAAGTCTTGCAGAATCCCTGCATGCACCGGTTGCTGACTTCGCTCAACTTTAGGGCAAGTGGGGAGCTTGCAAGGATGTGTATGTGGCACTAGGTAGGGGAGTTGGTGTAGCCGAGCGGAAGACTAACCCGGTTGCACAGATCAGTGAGAGGAGACTTAAGGAGAGCGGTTATCAGGAAGTGACCAGTGAGAGGAAGCCTAGAGAGAACAGCTACAAGGAAGTGACCGCAGAGAAAAAGTACAGAGAGATCAGCTGATTACTCGTGGCAGATACGGGCCACCAAAGATGTAGAATGAGAGTCAGGAGGAGGTTTCTTAAATAAAGAATTCTTCAGTGGCTGCAAACACCGTTTGCAACACGATGGCAGCCGCTTAGAAAAAGAACCGGAGAAAGAGATTCAGAGTGCTGCCCGGTTTTTGCTTTGAGTAAGAAAAGCGAGGGATAAAACTGTGATGCCACCCTGTTGGAAAAGGGGCGAGAAGTATGCAGGTCCCTTGGCTTCGGCTGTACCCTGAGGGAGGTATTCGAGATGTTAAATCAACACTGTATACTTAGGTTGCAGTATCAAGGATTCTAGCAGCAGCTTGCAGTTCTGGAGAGCAACTCAGCAGAGACAGCATTGTATGTGCAACCAAAGAGTGGCAGCTCTGCCAGCGACTGTTGCCAACAGCAGATTTAATATTGAACGCAATGGCCGAAGCAGCAGATCTTTCTAACAAGAATAGCAGCAGGTGCTGACAGTCGGAGCATCATTATGAGTAGGGCAGGAAGCCTAGTGAATGGGCAACCAGAATAGAACAGTGTGGGAAAGAACAATAAATGAGGAAGGAAAAATGCCCGACCCGTGGATGTTGTCTTTGCATCCTTTTTCAGCCCTGCTGCCTCTGTCGTTGTCGTTGTCATTGCCAGTGTGGTGTAGTGGTTAAGACTGTGGGACTGGGACTCAGGTGATCTGGGTGCTAGTCCCCACTCAGCCATGGAGCCAACTGGGTGACTTTGGACCAGTCACCAACCCTCAGCCCAACCTACCTCACAGGGTTGTTGGGGGATATGATTCAGAGCAGCAGGAGAATGATGTAAGGCACCTTGTTTTCATAAGAAAAAAGCAGGATATAAATCTAAAATAAATAAATTTGTATTGTTGTTTTATTATGTTTTATAAATAAAAGATGCACCAGCATGGTGTAATGATTAAAATGCTGTACCCAGGTTCAAATTTTGGTTCAGCAGTTACATAACAAACTCTCAGCTTCTAAAATTGTCAACTATATCTTATTAAATGTGGGCCATGTATCTATACTTTTCCTTTTAAGAGATGTGCCTGCCAACTTTACCACTAATTGTCTGGGAATTTCCGGCAACTGCTTTGCCTCCGTGAACAGTACTAACCTGTCCACGTCCCCACTCTCGTATTTTCACGCCAGTCTATGAGTTCCCCTCTGGATGAGTGGTTTCTTCGCTCACATACATTTTCTGTTATAGGGAAGCAGATGTTGTCTTGGCATATCTGAAGCAACAATGTAATGCAGAGAAGATAGGTGTCATTGGATTTTGTTGGGGTGGAGCTGCTGTACATCATCTGATGTTGCATTATTCCGAATTTAGGGCCGGCGTGTCAATCTGCGGTACGTACTGAATACAACAGGGTCTATGTAAATTGACTCATCTGCATGCATTACAAATGGAAGGAAGGCAATACTTCCAGTCCAGAACATGTTTTTCTATGTATGAGGAAGCAGCCATTGAGGTGTAAAACTGTCTCACTCTCATGGACCAGCTGTTCAAAGAATATATTGTGTTCCTTGTATTTTTCCATCGCGCTAAAGTAGTTCATATTCAACACATCATGGAATCATAACCTGAAGGAATTCTATCTAGCGTGGTCTTGGTCTTTGTTCTAAGTTTTGTCTTGGCTAGCACTGACATACACACTCACATAGACACCTTCCAGAGATGATGTACAAATATACTGATGCACAGCTTGCAGCACACACAGAAAACGGGGTCGTGGGTGCGGGAGACTCTTCTCTTCACAAAGTCACTTTGCCCTTGCTGAGGGTGACCAAAGCAGTAAGAGAGGGGGCAAAGCTAGTGCATTTATGCTCCTCCTGTGCTTACTGTCATTGGTTTCTGAATGCCCGCACAAGACATCCCCCTCCTGAATGGACCCTCTTCCCAGCAGGCCAGCAACAGAGCTTTAACGGAGAAGACTGCTCATACGGTTGGACTGCCTCCTGGCAATATCCAAGAGGTCACAGTTCTGATTTTGGGTTTGGCATGAAGCAGTGAAGCGTCCTCAGAAGCTGATTTCTTGCAGCTCATCTGATGTGGCTCCATAGCCCACCTCTGTGTCACCACCATGGGTTGAAGACTAGGTGATTCTTGATGGTCTGCTATTCCAAGACTCCTCCTATATCCTTGTGTCTCTATGTTTGAAAAGCCCTTTCCACTCAAACAGCAAACCTCCTCGCCATTTCATAAATTGATTTTTAAGTTCCCCATTGTCAAAAATGGCCATCTGGCACTGCAGATTATCATTTGCGAGAATGACATTTAAATCTCCCTAGGGCTTACAGAGTTTGTTTCTTGGTTTTTTGGATCCTAGACTCCATCTCTAAAGCTAGTGAAGTGACATATCCCTAAATAATCAGTCAAAGGTTGCACAGCTGTCTCATGCAGAACCATTATTTCACTACTTTTAAGAGAAAAACAACTGTGATATGTCTCATGAAGGACAGCCTGAGGATGGGGTGCTGCAAAATCCTGTAAACAACTGATTAACGTGGCTTTGCATAACCTTTAATAATGGAGGGATTCATTTTAAACCAGGTCAAAATATTTCATGGTGCTCCTGACCTGGAATTTGTGAGTCAAACTTACTGACATCAAGATGTCTTTTAAAACCTTTTGACTCTTCATTTTTTATAGGTATAAAATTTACTTGAAGCAGAAAAATGACATATCTGTATAACTTTCCCAATTTTGAACCCTGGCACAATAAAATGTATAATCAGATTTCTGTGTTGCCAGATGTATCAATATCATTCAACAGAAGTATTATGCTTGATTTCAATCTTCTTGTTTTTGTTGAATGTATTCTAGGAGTTATCACTTTAATGGAGGATAATTACAGCTTGAAGAAACCAACATTTTACATTTTTGCAGAGAAAGATGACATCATTCCTCTTTCCCAAGTAAGCTGTTTGTTTCAAAAAGCAGATGTTATGAGTTGGTCAAAATGACCTCTCAAGAATTCCATTTCCCCATCACTACAAGCTTGAGAGTGAGTGGCCGTAAAAAGAGGTTGCTAGAATGGATCAAACCAGTTGGTAATTTTAGCCTGGCAGATTCCCTGTCATTATGAATATTAGGCGAGTGCAGACACTTGTCCTCAGAGATGGCCATTGATTGCAGGTAGATGATATTTTTGAGCCCAAGGACAAAATTCAAATTTGGGAAGGTTCCTGAGAGTCATGTGCATGAAGTAATAAACAAAGGGAGGGCTAATAAATGGGCAGAACAAAAGGGAGAGGATCATTTGGGGGGGGGGAGGTCTTCTGTTTAAAATCTGGGGAGAGCTAATATCCTGGAAGGCAGAAACAAAATTCAAGGTGATCTTGACAGGCTGGGCTGCTGGGCTGAAAGCAACAGACTGACATTCAACAGGGACAAATGGCAAGTTCTACACGTAGGAAAAGGGAACCACGTGCACAGTTGCAAGATGGGAGGCAACAATGCTGCAAGCGAGAAGGATCTTGAAATTGTTGCAGATTAGAAACTGACTACGAGTCAGCAATATGATGTGGCTGGACAAAGATGAATGCTGTTTTGGGGCTTCTTCGATAGAAGTGCACCCTCCAGATCACATGAGGTATTGGTGCTCCTCTATTCAGCACTAGTGAAGCTCCATCTTGGGTCCAGTTCTGGGCTCCACAGTTTAAGGAAGATGCAGACAAGCTGGAAAAGGGTCAGAGGAGGGCAACAAAAATGACCAGGGGGCTGGGAACAAAGCTCTACGAGGAAAGATGGAAAGACCCGTGCATGCGTAGCCTTGAGAAGACTGCGGGGAGATACGGTAGCATTGTTCAAATACTTGAAAGGCTGTCACACCGAGGAGGGCCAGGGTCTCTTCCCAGTCATGCCAGAGTGTAGGATGCAGATTAACGGGTTCTGGTTACGGGAAGCCAGGTACTGGCTGAATGGCAGGAAGAATGGTATGGCGATGGCACCAATGACCTAGGGAGGTGGTGGGCTCTCCCGCACTGGAGGTATTCAGGAGGCAGCTGGACAGCCATCTGAGAGGGATGGAGTCCTGCACTGAGCAGGGGATCGGATTCAATAGCCTTATAGGCCCCTTCCATCTCTACTGGGTCATGACCTTTTTCCCCCTGCAGTGGAGAGCAGGACACGTTCTAATGGAGAAAGTTCAGGGAACCAAGATCTAGGGTGGATGCCAGGAAGTACTTCCTGATGGTTAGGACCCCGAGGGTATGAAATGGGCTTCCACAGGAGGTGGATGAAGCCCCATCGGTGAGGGTGTTCAAGGATAGGCTGGACGTGCACATGGTAGGCATGTCATGAGTGGAACTGGCTGGAGCTGGGGGTCAGACTAGATGGCCCAGGAGACCCCTTCTGACTCACTCTGTTTCCATGTTTCTACTATTCTATGATCTAATCTACATTACCAGTTAGATTCTGCTGACTATGACCTCCACCCCTACAAACCAGGCTGAAATAAACCAGGTGGGCCAGCAATGGTTTTATTGGTATAACTCAATTTTCAAGATTTTAATATTGTATTTGCTCCTTTCTCCCTGTTCTTGGATGCACATCTTAATGTGGCAACTGTTTGAGAGTATCAGAGAAGCTGAGAGCAACCTCACCAAGAGGCCAGACTCATTCTATTCACCACTGAGAATTCTGTTCGACATAAAGGAGCGTATAAATCTTGCAAAAAAATAACCCATCTTATGATCATTTTGACGTATTTTCTCATAATGAATATCAAACCTCAGACCCGTGTTAAAACTTTGTTCTCTAACCTGTTGGGCTGGTTCACATGTTAATGGCATGTTAAATTGAGGATGGCTGGGTCACAGGTTGCCCCAGGACGTGCTCAGCCGTGCCCCTCTATTTGAATACGCAGATCCAATTGGCCTAATTGAAGATTCCTCTGACATGCAACGGAGACATTACAGGGCCGCCTGCATGCAGAAGCCACTCATCTGTTAAACGTCACTGTTGCAGGAATACAGGCATGCTGCCTTTATCACGTCTGTATCTCCTATTTTGCCCTGCAACCCAGAGTTGGCTGCTTGTAAATTACACGACATGTGAACTAGTGGTTTGTTGTTGGATTAACCACCTCGGCAAACCAGTGGTTGAAGTTCTCAGATTCAGGTGTAAAAGTTACAAAATAGTTGATGCATGCAAAAGCAAAAGAGGCATGCCCACTCCTGCTTTTAAACCAATGGGCTCTCATTACATGCAGACCAGATCTGTGGGTTAATCATGGGTTAAGCAACCCATAGTTCACCTAACAACCAATTGTAGGTTAACTTTGGACTCATTTAACCTATAATTAAACCATAGTTTCTGGGTTCACTCATCATGATGCAACCTCCAGCCAGTCTGACTGGAGGATACATATGCAGAATGGGAACAGCACACAGCTCTTGTGAGTTAATCCAGTTGATCCTAGGTTTCAAACTGATGCAAAAAATGGGCTGTGAATCCAAGCACAGTAGTCATGAAAAAGATGCATCTTTCCTCAGTCCTGTGAAAAATTGTTTGATGCCTGACCATTCAGGAGAAGGTAGAAGGTAGGGAAATGGTCCATATGAGGCAGGGCAGTTTAATTCTCCATACTGCAATACAATGTGTTTAACTGTTTGGACTGGAAATGGTATTGAAAGCCACAGCCTGACAGAAATAAGATTTCATGACCTCTTATAACATAGGATCTGCGTATGGACTGACAGGTCATGCAGCTCTAGAAATTCACAGTATTATCATTTGTTTCATTTCTATACTGCCCAAGATCCAAAGCTCTCTACTGAATTCATGTAGGGCATTTTCTGTTACAGGTTGCAGAGCTGGAAGAGAAGCTGAAACAGCAAAGCAAAGCTGATTTTGAAGTGAAAATTTATCCCGGACAAACCCACGGTTTTGTGCATCGCAAAAAAGAAGACATTAACCCTGAAGATAAACCTTACATTGAAGAAGCTCGGAAGGACATGCTGAGTTGGCTCAGCCGATATGTCTAACATGCCACATAAGCTATCAGAATGTCAGTTCACCACAGAAATGTTAAAAGTAAGGACACGAGAGCAGAAGCAAAGCCCTGCTGGATCAGAGCAAGGCCCATCTAGTCCAGCAGTCCATACACACACCAGCAAACCACATGCCCTCAGGATCCCGCAAGCAGGATGGCTGCAAGACTTCCTCCTGCCCAAGTTCCTCAGCATACTTTTCAAAGGTCTGTATCAGCAAAAGGTAGCACTGATCCCATCTCCCACTGTAAGCCATTTTCCCATTGCATGTGCCCAGACACACGAAACACACCCACCGTCAGGCTTTCATTCATGCAAAAGCGTACAGACGCAGACAGATGCAGCTGCTGCTAAAAGCAACCTCCCTGGCTAGCTCAAATGAGGCTGAGTAGGAGTTCTGCATTGATATCTGAGAGACATTCAGGATGTATGAGTGGCTGTGGGTGGGATCGCGTGGGAGAAATACAATGACAAGTGCTGATGACAAAGACAAGGGTGCTGGCAGCCAGTGTGGGATACTGGTCGGAATGCTGGACTGGGACTCTGGAGAACTGGTTCTAGTCTCTGCTCAGCCAAGCAGCTCACTGGATGATCTTGCCACAGCCATTAGTATAACCTTCAGTGCAGGGCTATTGTGAGGATGTGAGGAGGAACATTATGTAAGCCACTCTGGGTTGCTTGGAATATACATGTAATAATACATATTAAAAACAAGCCTCCGCTGGAAAACTTGGTGAAAGTCATAAAGCATCACCTGATCTGCTCTGGCCTACAAGTGAAAGGTGGGTTTCTTGGCTGGTCTCCCTTAGAACCTGTTATTTGGCCAATAATGGGAGGTGGGGCCCTTGTATTTAGTGTTAATTTCTCTGTGGTGTGGTGACATTTTGATACCTTGTACCTTTCAGGCTGCCGGTTCAAATTATACAAGGGGCTTAAAAAAGGGGACTACAAAAGATAAATATAATGTAAGCATTAGAAAATCAAAATAAGAGTTTAACAAGACGACAGACCATTTGGGAAGACTATGAAATTGTTCTGTAATTTATGGCTTATAGCTCTTAAGTGTTTCATGGGTTGTTAGGTGGAAGGCACAAGCTGCAAGATAAGGAAATAACTTTGCTTATCAATATTCCATGCCTCCTCCTTTATTAAATAAAGTTTTTAATGATGGCATGCATCTTCATTGGATAACCAAGGGGCTTTATATTATTTGTAGTGAGGCAAATTCAAGTGTAAGAACTGTTACATTCCTATTGCTTGCTGGTTCACATACTTGCTCTCTGAAGAGCCACAGCTATGGGGCGGTGCAGAAATGAAATAAAGAGCATAATTTTGGGAAAATCCTTCAAAACCTATGCTGGATAGTTTTTGTATAATTTAACAGGCATGTAAACCGGAGAATCTGAGAGAGAGCCTTTCTTGTTTTCTATCTGTATATACCTCTGACAGAACAGTGGAAGGATTAGCCATTGCCAAACCTGTATTTTGTCTCCTAATCTCGCCTTCCTTAGAGTCCTACTTTCCTATCAGGACTTGGTTATACCAGTGAAAAAAATAACCTTTATTCTCTCACAGTCCTTGCCGCCTAGTTGCCCATTTAGTCCTGAGCAGCAGCTCCTACCTTATCCTCAGTATCATGATATGGGGGTGCTGATCACAATGGAAGAGAAGATAAACGATACCCCTGAACGAAGCAGCCTTGCTGCGGCTGTGCGAAGCAGAACCTGCCACAGGCTATCCCAGCTGTGAGAGGGCTAAATGCTGGGAGGAGGTCTGCGCGGACAGGGCATACTGGTGGGGGGAAAGATATTGGAAGTTCCTTTGTTTCAAGCAATCCTGGTGGGGGAGAAGGGCACCTGGGAAAAATGCAAGTTCAGAGGATGGGTTGAAGGAACTAGAAAACATCCTTACTGCCTCTTGCTAACCTAGCTCTACAGCTCTTAAGGGATGCTACCCGGTGACCTCAGCAGCCAGGTTATAAGGACTTAGTGGCTGATGCCATGTAGATGACAACGTTCACCCACCCAAGTCAGCACAGGTCAAGGCCTGACACCAGGCAACTTGTGACCATATGAACCCAGCTTATCAGTGTCCGGAGGTTTCAGAACCTTATCAAATTAAGGTGCAACCCTATACATGCACAGGTGGATAAAAGTCCTACATTTCCAGCATTCCGCAGCCAGCATACGGAGAGGTGGGATTTGTTTCTGTCAAAACATGCATGGAATTGCACCCCTCGCTGGTCAGGTTCTGAGGATGAAACCAGCCTTGTCTTTAAGCACCTTCCTGCTGGTCATAGACCACAAGAACTGCATGCTTGTGAATGCTGAACTGCTGAAGGAAGAATAAAGGATTCTGGCCCTTCTCTTAGCATGGAAAAATGCTCAAGGAGGAAATGCAGCCGGCTTGTGAAAGAGGAATAGCAATTCCTTGTCCTTCCTTTGCCATCTTCAAAGAGGATGGTAAAAATGGTGCCATTTTTGTGGGCATCTTTACAAGGCTGTGCTTGCACCATGTAAATCGTTATGACTGCATAAACCTAGTCCAGCTGGACTCATTCCCTGAGGACACCACGCAAACCTGTATGAGCTTTCCAGTTGTGCAGTTCAGAGCTCAGGGACTGACAACTTGGAAAGTGTTACAGTTTTGCAAGCCTGCTTAAATGAGATTTTAGCAGGTGGTACCTTGTAAAGCCTTAGGGCTTTCTCAACCCAGCTTACAGTTCAGGCTGAAAGCTGGAAATCATTATCACCTCACCAGCTATGATGAACTGACCCAATACCATGCAAATCATTACCAACTCAGTTTACCATGGTGCTTGGACTGGCAACTTGAAAAGCATGAAGACCTCATTATCCATAGCTTCCTTAGTGGTAGTCTTGATCCAAGGACTTATTTGCAATGTGGGGTTTCATAGCCTTTCTTACTAAAACTTGGTTTTCCTTTTAAGAACAATTCTTTATTTTCTCCACACTGGGCACGATTTATCCAGCATTTATTTTTGTGCTGCAGACAGTGGTCTTCTGGGTTTGAAACATTTTGGTGACTTGATAGGTCTTGACATCTTTGTTGTTGCCATGGAAATGGAAAGAAATTCAAACTTGTAAGGAATTACCATCTAAAGAGATGATCAGGAAGAAGAGCAATTGGCAGAGATAGCGCTTTTTCAAAGGGTAGAGCAGAGATGGAAAAATAAAAAATTTCACAGCTCTTTCAAAAAAGAAGTAAATATTAGCCAAGGATAGGGAATGAAAAACACACAAGTGAATCTATTAGTTGGACTAAGATGGCGACTTGCTAATATACCTGTCAATTTGAATTGTACTTTTGAATGAAATCTCCTTACTTGTCTTTTTATGGACCTGACTGCAATTTGCTTCCTTAGTTGAACGTATTTTATATTAATTCTAGAATTCTGAGCATACAGAATCATAGAATAGTAGAGCTCGAAGGATGAGAAGGAAAAGTGTGTCCAACCCCCTGCTATTGCAGAAGACTGAGTTACACCATCCTATTCACATAGATGATATATTAGCAATGACTTTACAGATATTTCAACGGCAATTCTTATTGTATAAGTAGGTGATTTGCGTCTGTGTGTAATGAATTCCTTAAGACCACATTTTCTAATTATCCTCTCACAAAGCTTGTCACTACTTCAGCAACATGAGGCTTTACTTGTGGTAACTTTACATTCCATGGGAACAAGTGCTTTCCGCCACATGGTACAATTAGATTCACTTACCTGGCTCCTTTCCAAATCTATTGAGAAAAAGACAGGTTGCTTACCTGCACCTTTAAGTTTTGTGCATTCACACAAGCAGGTACACAGCCTGTATGTACGAATCCGCAAACGATCCAAGTGGATTTTTGAATCAATATCGTTACTGACATTGACCTGAGCATGCTGAGTGGGTATGAACAAACAAAACTACTTGAAGAACTACAGGTACAGGTAAGCAACCTGTCTTTCTTGTGACTCACACAGATAGGTGAGTAGCAAAATGCGTTTCCAGCAGCAGTTCATCCTCTTACTGTAACACCACAGAGAGAACAGAGTGGTCCACTATGGCTTGAGTCGAAAAAAGTCACTCTGGTTTGCCCAAAAAGTCTGTAATGGCTGAGGAAAGTCAATGGTTCCACCTGTGCAGAGCCCAAACACTACCTCCTCAAGGCTTTGCTCCACAAAATTGCCTGCAGCCTGCTTGAGACTTCACCTCTCCCATTCTGCAAGGGCTAGACAATGAGCACAGCTCTTCACTTCGTACCCTTTCCTAGGCTGAAAAAACACAAGGGGTGTAAGGACTGGGCCCACTTCTCCCAGAGTACAGCATTGCAAGAAAGAAAGTTCAGCCTCAGAAGGTGAACTATTGGAAAGCAAGGAGGGTGTGGGGGAAAGAGTATGAGTTAATCGACCCTGAGATCCATCATCAAGCCAAATGAGCCAACCAAATTAACAGGTGGCGTTCCCACTGGTTAGTCCTCAAGCAGCATGAGCCTCTTTGGTGGTGGAGCCAGGCCTTTTGGCGAATGAAAGCAGGAAGGAATCTTATATTGCATTTTGCATAGCATTTATACCCTACCTTTCTTCCTTCAGCAAGGAACCCAAGGCATCTTGTTCTGGAATCAACTTCTGACATGTGCAGAAGCTTCTCCCTTAAACCAGAAGGACTGTTACTTTGATTTACATTACTTGTTAACAATTTCTATATTACTTGGTTTAACAGAAGCCAGTTTAGCTCAAATAAAGGCTGAGCTTTTAGAAGGATCTCAACTTAATCTGCTGGAAGAGGGACATGCCCTTGGTAAGGGGCTTCTCTACAGGAGGAATGCATTGTGCCCTCACGATCCCCTACAGAGGTTTATGGGGCCTTTTCATGGCATCCCACTTCAGGGCCTTTCCCATGTTTTCCAGCTATTTGCATTGTTTTTAGAGCAAGTTAAGTCAGCTACAAATACTTAAATTGAAACAAAAGCTGGTGAACTGTCCCCAAAGTCCCACTATTCTTCAGCTATATCATTGCTGTTTAATAGAGAAATGCAAACCCCAAGACTCGATTCCTCAGCTCCCTCGCAAAGGACACATTTCTCTGCTCAAACTTTTAACAATCCAGCAAGTTAAAAAGAGCCAATAATGGATACATCTATAATCATGTATTTCTTCCAGATTCTGGGGAAAACAACTGATGTACTTTTCCAGTCTTGTCAAAGAGGTGTGTCTTTCATTGCTTCTCTGCAACTCTGAGCAGTGGCTTTAACATTATCACGGTTTTTCTGCCCTGTGAAAAACTGTGGGACTGACTGCAGGCAGAACTATGCCAGACAAGCAACAAGGCACTGAAACCTGAATCATCATTCCATCCTCCCCATCTGGATTTGGGCCGGAAAGACGAAGGCACAAAACAACGTGTTATCTTGCGACAAGAGGATTGCTAAACATGCGGCACATCAGCCAAAGCTTCCAACTTTATGCAAAAGTTTTAATGTTAGTCTTGGACAGGCAGTTTAACAAAATCAGTGAATACGTGTGCACACACATACGTATGTCCATATGTATATTCCAGATAGAAGTTATAGAAAAATCAGTCTTCCACATACTTCATCCACAAGTACATTGTGAGAAATGACTTATTTGTCTCCATAGCAATTTTGAAAACTTTAGGTTAGAGAAACTGATGCACGCAGAGCAGTGAGTAATCTGAGCCATTCTGAATGCATGTAGCTATTATTAAGCCTCGGTCTGAAAAGCCATCTGTTATGCAAACAATGAACAATTATCTTGTTCATGACTGGGGATAAGAACTGTTTGTAAAACATATTGTAAGCCCCAAAGAAAATTCTTTAGGTTACAAAGAAAGAAAGAAAGAAAGAGAGAGAGAGAGAGAGAGAGAGAGAGAGAGAGAGAGAGAGAGAGAGAGAAGCCCAGTCAAAAGTGAGAATTTTTTACCAAGAAAACTTGATTTGAAAGCAGTAACTTGCAAGTTCAGCTCGTTACAAAGGCCAGATGTTGAAAAACTAGTAAAGGGAAATGCACTTTGACCACTTTTCCTATTCCAGGAATAGCTTGCAAAGACTTAGCAATGACTAGGTAATTTTATCTATTATTCTCCTAATTAACTTTGTTTCATTACCTACTTTTTTTTTACAGACAGTAAGATTTTCTCTTTTAT